TAGAAAAATGGTTTAAAAATTTACCTAAGTAGGATTCTATATACAGATAGGTATATATATTAAGTTAAAAGTATTTATGATAAAGTGCGTGTTATATCGGAACGCGCATGGGCATTATTTCAAAATAAAATATACCTACCATTTTGAGATATCACGATTTTCGAAATAGTGCCAATACCAATTATTTCGAGAATTTATGGTACATCCCACATCCTGGTGCTTTTAGAAAATCAATCCAAATATTAAAATTGTCACTTTCAGAGTTGACAATTGGACAAATTGAACATGGAATTATGTGAATTGACATATAAACTGTCCAATTCAATGCATAATTAGACATATACATCACTGTTTTTAAAAAATCAGTATATTTACTAGTGTAATCAAAAATAATTTAGAGATTCAACAATATAGATGAGTTTATATTAATAGCATAATCACTACTATCTTGTCTCAATTAAATCATCTTCATCCTCCTCTAATTCATCTCCTTCATCAAGGGTATCTTCCACTTCAAAAGTGTTTGGAGGAACAGAATACAGACGAACTACAGGCTAAATAAATGTATATATTAATAATGGGTGTTAGTTTAAATATCTTTTGGATTATTTTATACCAACTTATGATGATTTTACCTTGTTTGGATCTTTGAGTAATACGTATCTGCCCTCTGGTAACTTCATACAAAGATCTATAACAGTTCGCACAATACCCCATCCGTTAGAAACTGACATATTCATTTGCGCGGCAAAGTCCCGAGGTTTATAATATTGTGTGCCCAATATCACATGACGACGATTATCTTTTGGACTAGCGCGCGAAACATATCTACATCAAACCATAGAAGTCGGTTGATTTAATAAGTATTAATATGGAATTCCAATTGTAAATCATTACCCTAATTTCATCTGATCTGCACCAGCCAAAATGCTCTGAACTGCCCATCGAGCTAATTTACAACTATTATTTTTCATTTCAGTAGCAACAACAGCACCTCGCTGTGTGTCTAATTTTTGCCGCCAATCTAATGCTCCACCTGCACCTTGAGAACGAGAATCGAATTCATTCAAAGCTTTTATGGTGATAAATGAATCATCACCTGCAGGAGTTTTTACAACCGAATCTAACTGCGTACGAACAATAAGACGTACGTCTTCTTCTTCGCTAATCCCGAGATCGAACCGACGATAGCGATAAGCGCATGGTGCCATAAATTCTAAGTCATCAGAACTAGCAAAAGGATTTGGTTTCTCAAATTCATACTTTTCTGACTGTTATAATAGTATCTTAGTCGATCAGAATATTAATCATTGACAATAAAACAAATAATTGGTATTTAAATTATAAATACCTCATTAACTGCTTGCATAGCAAAGCAATGATTAATGATCGTTGCTTCCATTGAAAGTGCAACGGGTGAATTGATGTTATCTTTATCTCCGGTTTCAACCGGTGGATCGGCAGCATTTTCATTAACGGTAACATAATCTATGGATAATTAAGGTAT